ATATATATAAAGCATCTCTGTAGGTCATAGACTTAGATTTATAAAATTATTTTAGACTAGTACTGTCATGGCCACGCATAGATTTGAATTATACATGTAGTATTTTAGACTGGGCACTGACCTGGCAACCCATAGACTTGAATCATGATATCTTAAACCGAGGCTTGTTATGGCCGCCCCTAGACTTATGTTATTGTAATATCTCTGGCCGGGCATTATAAGGGCCGCCCATAGACTTGAATTGTAATATCCCTGTTCGGGCACTATAATGGCCGCTACTTTTTGCTATCTACATAGACTTGACGTAACTATAATATCCTAGCCCGGGCACTCTTATAACCTTCGCTCTCAAGCTTAAAATTGAATCATACTTCTGATAATATAATTATTATTATTGCTAAATTCGTTGTTGAATATTAGGTAGGCCTACATTTACCGTTTTTAGACTAGGGAGTTTAGTCAGAACACAATGTACAGTTGGTGTGTTACTATTGTACAGTCAACACTGTCAAAGATGGCCGCCATTGTCGAAGAGAGAAGTGGTTCTCTGAAGTGCTCTATAAACGCTCAAATTTGTTTGATCGTTTGATCAAATATGTTTGACACAATTTTTGGTGTAGGGTTTTGATCGTGTTTGACGGTCAAAATAATCTGCTGTCAAATATTTGACAGATCTGTTTTCAGTTGATATTTTTGTCAAACTGTCAAACTATTTGATCGTGTGTGGGCTTCATCAAATGTATTTGTGCTATCATTATTTTTTCAGTTGCTGCCGGATAGAAAAGGTCTACTTTTTACACCACCATGGCGCCATCAAATGAAGAAAAAAAAATATCCTGGGGCTGATTGAAGTGTGGCAGAGTTAGCCTGATCTCGATGCAAACTTAAAAGTAAAGAATATATCATTCACCGAGATTTTTTAAAAAAGGAAAGGAGGTGCCTCTGACGCTCTGCTGCTGAAACACAGGGAATGGTATGCAGATGCCTTTTTAAAAAAAAGAAATGAAAAAGAAAATAAACTCAATGCGGGCGAGTTTTCGAAGGGACTTGAAGAAATTGGATGATTCTCAAAAGTCTAGGACAGGTGCACATGATATCTACGAGCCTTCATTGTGGCTTTTTAGCGCTCTTTTATTCATGATAATTCATCTAATAATTTAGAATGGCCAAATTGTTGGCGCTTCAAAAACCAATTTTGGCCCACTTTCTGTTTGTTTTTCCTCGCAAGGCTAAAGCAAAAGCCAGCGCTGTTGGTCCGTCCATTACAAACCCTTGGCACAAACTAATGTTAGTGTTTGACAGAAACATTTGAGCGTGTAGGGAAAACGTCCAACTGTCAAAAAGAAAGAAAAAAAAAGATAAAAATTGTTAGACGAACAAATTTGAGCGTGTATGGGGGAACTTTCGATGCGTGGCCGCCTTAAACGACAGTGTCATAATGTTAAAATAATGTTAAACAATACGAAAGAAAGGAAATGGGAAATGGCGGTTTTTACTGGTGATTGTCTTGTACAGGTGGCTGTTAGAACACATTTGACTGTATAGACACTTTGTACAATTTATGTAGTGATTATGCGTTGTTGTTGTTGTATTTTTGTAAAGCGCCCAGAGCATGTGTTCTTTAATTGGGGCTTAGTGCTATATCAAAGTCATATATCATTATTATAATTATCTTATCGTCATCATCATCATCATCATCATCATCATCATCATCATCATCATCATCATCATC